GTTTTGAAAAAAAAACCTTATGTACGATCAAAATTTCAACATTAAGAGGATTTCTTCTACTTATAGCTAATTTTGCACTCTAAAATTTCGACATCTTCCCGTGAATACGAGATTAAAGTGCTTCAGATGACATGAAACAAGAAGTTTCTATGGAAGATCGTTTGATGGGTCTTCGATCAATCTTTCATGGACCGGTGCTTTTCCCGAACACTCTTATGAATTCAGGTCTGTTCTAGGTTGTAATTGAGGAAATTTTGTGATTAATTTCTTTTCTAGGTGGAATGATTCCGCCTCATATTGCTGCAGCCGTTGCTTTGTCAATGAACCATCGAATGGCACAAACAAGGTAAGACGAATCTCAGTCGAGGATTCTGAGATAATTCCCGTATTCTTCATCATCTTCCGGGTTGTACGGAAATTTACAAGATATGAACGCAAACTGTACTCACTTACTGCGTCAATTAGATGCGAACTCGTGACGCAATATATTTCTCATACAACGCAGATTTTACTTTCTGTTATTGCAGACTTTTGCATTAGTTTACGTAATCATAACAATTAATAAGTTTTAGTACGCCGCCATTCGATCCGACCACAATTTCCGTCTCCTCATTTCCGACATTGTCCCGGGATTCACCTCCTCTTGCATCGTCACCGACACTCAGCTGTGCTGTCTGTGGTGACGTAAGCAGTGGAAAGCACTATGGTATAATTGTCCTTTGCTCTGTAATTTCTAAAAATACGAAAACTTCCTTCTTCAAAATCACGAATAGATGATTTGCGAAAACCAATAATTCCGGAATTTTGTCAAATTTTCTCGACCTATTCGTCGACTCCTCTTTTCTGAGGCAGACTTGATTTAATGTGCACTTTGCCACTATGTTGTTCTGATGACTATAAGAAGTTACTTAAAGCTTTTAATGTCATCATTTTCAGGTATACTAGCGTGCAATGGCTGTTCGGGATTTTTCAAACGATCCGTGAGACGGCGGCTCATATATAGGTGTGATAAATGCTAGTTAGAATTTTATCTAAAATAAGACGAAAAAATTGGTGAACAAAGCCAGAATACGAATGGCATGAATACAAGCGTGTGTAACTTTGAAACACTGAGGAGAAATACCCTCCTTCGCAAAGCAGTTGAATTTTGAGAATTTTAGCTCCAAATCTGTGTAATATTTAGACCATTATTTAACTTATAGCACTTACTAGGTGCCCAGAATAAAAAGGGGAATCATTGCCGAGTATAGTAAAAATCAGTGCTTATGCTTTTTCTTCGATAGTGTGCAAATGTAAAACAAGCTCTTCGATAAAGTAGAACTGTACTGCGAGCCCAATAATGTTACAAACTTTCATCCCCTTATAGTTGCTTGTGCAGCTCAAAATTTTTCTCAAACTTTTGTCCACAACCCATCGTCATTTCAATCATTTTCGTATTTGCAGGTGTCAAGCAGGAACAGGAAGTTGCATAGTGGACAAAGCTCATAGGAACCAATGCCAAGCGTGTCGCTTGAAAAAATGTCTTAGCAAAGGAATGAACAAAGACGGTTGGTTCTTTGCAATTTCTTCTATCTGTTGAATTTGCACCGATATTTAAGGTGTGATCGCCTTTTCAGCCGTACAAAATGAACGACAACCGCGAAACACAGCCACGATCAGACCAAGCGTCGACATGGATCCGCACAACTTCCTGCGGTAAAGCGATAGCCATCTTTGATGAGTTGTCCTGGAAATCACTATTTCATCTAAGGGAGTATGCCGGAGCTGTTTCGGCTGTTCTCTCACAACCTGAATTGCCACCTCGAGAAGAATCTCCACTAAGTGCAACAAGTGAAGGAAGAACGGAAGATGAAAAGGTTCCTCATCTTTTCTTATTTTTTCAGAATAGGTGTGAGGGCTTTGCATTAAAGCGCGACATCTTAAAATGAACATTCTCCCAAAAATACAGGAGGAAATTTTACAGAAGGATGTCTTCCCAGACTCACCAGCTAAGATACTGGAACTATCCTTACTTTGGACACAAGCCGTTCCATCATTTCGATCATTGGGCGATTCTGAGAAGGTATTTCTTTGAGAGATTCCGCCACTGTACAGTACCCCTACCGTAACAATTACCATTTAAGGCTCATCTCCTTACCGCAAACTGGCGAATACTCTTCCTATTGTCCCTTGCTGAATGGGCACAATCCACTTTTGTGGAATCTAACGATGTCGAGCCTGCTGTGAGAAATGCCCTAAACTCTATTAGGATGCTTGAACTCAATCGAACAGAGTTTTCCTGCCTTAAGGCAGTTGCGCTCTTCTTGAATGGTAAGACTAGATTTTTTTGGATTGAAAAAATATCGAAAATTAGCTTCAAACTCTGAGTTTTGCGCGGATTGAGCTAGACAACAATGCTAAACTTCAGGTCTTATAATTTGAACTTTTTTT